CCCCAAAACCCCAAAACCCCAAAACCCCATATCATCAAAATAAATTTAAATTAAAATCAGCACAGTAAATTTAAATTAATATTAGAATTCAATAGCAAATTTGGTTTCTCGATTCATTCAGTGTTCATTATACATCACCTATACTGATTTTCTAAATCTTCTATCATTTTATTTAGTCCATTTTATATTTCATTTGTAATCCTAACATCAACTTCTCGCTTTTAATAATTAGATTTTGAGCTTTAAGGCCTCAATGATTGAGAGCTCTCTGGCTTACTATTAGTGCCAAAATAATTCTCAAATTTATCAGCTTCATAGCCAACCTTTGCCTTTTTTCTTACAAGGCCATTATTATATTAATATTCCTTACTCTTTAGTTTCCTTTCCTCTTAGTGCCTTAGTGCCAATTTAATGCTCTCTTTGCTATTTTTATAGCCGATTGGCAAACCAATATCCTGAACAGGAAGTAAATGATTGAATGCTATCTTTCCATGAGTATATTTAATTTGATCACCCCATGCGATTACTTTCAGAATTGTTCTGGGTGCTATGTAATGGCCTCCCTTGTTAAACGGCACATCAGCAAATACAGCTTCTTAAACACTCCCATAAACATAATAGCCTCCTCCACGATCAGGCTTAACTTGCTATTCCATGTGTGCTCCAATCACATATTCTGTATTTGAATCGAATATTGAAAAGTATTTTCCGTTAACCTTTGCTACCAATTTGTAATAGAAATCTGCATTGGGGAACTCTCTTAAGTCAACTGAATTATCAAGAGGTTAATGCTTCTTAGAGGTTTAAGCTTATGATATTTTCTATGTTTCCATGACGAAGTTTTCAAGCGAAGTTTTGTCGAAACTTTCTTCAATCACAGGTTCTAATTATGCATCTAAAAAAGTATTTTTCTTGATTGCACTTGCCATTTATTGCATTTTTGATTTAAATTTACCAATACTTATAATTGAAGTTAAATGATCATTGGGGTTTTGGGGTTTTGGGGTTTTGGGGTTTTGAGACTGATGTTAGTTGTT